TGCACGCGCTGTCCCGGGCCATAGCGTCGCTCCCTGCTCTGCCCGCGCCTCCTTGCTTCCGCGGCGCTGCGTGCGTAAGTTGGGGGTGCTAGCGCCGCTAGGGGGACAACGCCCCTGACTCTAAGGGGTCTTGGTGGGGGCCGGGCTGTGGGAAGAAGTCCCAACTGAGGGCCCGAAATGCGCTAGGCGCGGGGCCGCGGGTGTGTATCTTCGGGGACCTGGGTCACTATTGTGCCCGCTCCAAGCGTGGGTGTGGACGCGTCAACGCGATCGAGCGCCTTGCGGGTGTCCGGGCTCCAACTTTGAGTCTGAGTTCGTGTTTGTGCACCCGAGGGCGGGGGCGCAGCTTGTCTGGAGCCATCTGCGCGCGTTTGCGGAGTCCCCGAGTGTGTCCCAGTGTGCACGGGCTTGCAGTTCCAGGGCTGCGGGTACCGACGCGAGTGTGCATGCTAGGGACCCCTCCCCTGTCTTCCTTACGTTTAGAGCCGTGCAGTGTCCTCCCACCCGGGACCGTCGTCCTTCGTGGTACGGGGAGGGTCGACCTTTGGGGGTGTTCGTTGCTAGCCGCGGCCCTCAAGTTCCTTCGTGTCACTCAGGGTCGTCACCGTCCCGTCCAGACCCCGAGTCACCGCCGCGGGCCATGGAGGTGGCGCCTGAGCAGCCGCGCTGGATGGCTCACCCTGCGGTGCTGAACGCGCAGCACCCTGACTCCCACCACCCAGGCCTGGCGCACAACTATATGGAGCCAGCACAGCTGCTGCCCCCCGACGAGGTGGATGTCTTCTTCAACCACCTGGACTCGCAGGGCAACCCCTACTACGCCAACCCGGCCCACGCGCGGGCGCGAGTCTCCTACAGCCCAGCACACGGTGAGCGCGGCCCGGGCCAGTGAGAGGGAGGAGGCCGCCTGCTTCCCGGATGTGGGAGCCGCAGGGCCCGGCGGGAAAGGTGGGGGCCGTGGTCCTGGGGAGGTCGCTGCCTTTCCAGCCTGCCAGTGAGGGTCCCCTCTGGCTACTGTCCTCAGTTCTAGACCGACCTTCCTGATTAGGACCAGTCGGGTGGGCTCTTTTGGGGGATGCTGCTGCTCTTTTCCCGAGTTGTGACCCCCGTTCGCCTTCCCACAGCCCGTCTGACAGGAGGGCAGATGTGCCGGCCACACTTGTTGCACAGTCCTGGCCTACCCTGGCTGGACGGGGGCAAGGCTGCCCTCTCGGCCGCGGCCGCGCACCACCACAATCCCTGGACAGTGAGCCCCTTCTCCAAGACAACGCTGCACCCCTCTGCTGCTGGGGGCCCTGGAGGGCCTCTGTCGGTGTACCCCGGGGCTGCAGGTGGGAGTGGAGGAGGCGGCGCCAGCTCAGTGGCCTCCCTCACCCCCTCAGCGGCCCACTCTAGTTCCCATCTCTTCGGCTTCCCACCCACACCACCCAAAGAAGTGTCCCCTGACCCCAGCACCACGGGGGCTGCCTCCCCGGCCTCCTCTTCTGCCGGGGGTAGTGGGGCCCGGGGAGAGGACAAGGACGGTGTCAAGTACCAAGTGTCACTGACCGAGAGCATGAAGCTAGAAGGCGGCAGTCCCCTGCGCCCAGGCCTGGCCTCCATGGGCACTCAGCCTGCCACCCACCACCCCATCCCCACCTACCCCTCCTATGTGCCCGCTGCCGCCCACGACTATGGCAGCGGGCTCTTCCACCCAGGGGGCTTCCTGGGTGGCCCAGCCTCCAGCTTCACCCCAAAACAGCGCAGCAAGACCCGCTCCTGCTCCGGTAAAGTCAGCAGGGGGGACCTGGGGGTGGGGGTGGGGGCTTTGTGTGCCTTTGTGGGAGCAGCTGTGATCTGGGAGAGGGGCCAGTGTCAGCACCTCACCTGGGGATGGATGATGTTTGGGGCCCCTCAAACTTTAAGCGTTCCTGGTTTCCCTAAAGTTCAGCTCCTCATTCCTTCTTATGGTGCCCCTGAACAGAACAGGAATTGTCCCTTTCCCTCCTTGAAACTCAGTACAAACGCAGCAGCCTTGTGACCTAGTGTGTGCGGGAGTGCAGACTGGAGGTGAGAGCACTGCATGTGCCTGTGTGGACGTGTCTGTGAGCTTGTGCTCGCGCTGCGGGTCCTGTGGAGCTCCCAGGCCCTGAAGGAATCTCGTTGTCCAGCGCAATCTGTCCATCTTAGAATTTCAGCGGCTGGCTCCTGATCTCCTTGGGAGATTTTCCCCAGAGCAAAATTCCCAGGACCTGTCTCTCCCTCCAGCCCCCAGCATGTCCTCCACTGCCTCTCCCTGAGGGGCCGGGTGAGGGGGATGAAAGCGGGTACCTGCACCCCTGGGCCAGCAGCAGCTGGACCGAGCTGGGTTTGTCCAGGAATCTGGCTGCAGGGCAATCACCCATGGCCAGCACGGGGCAGCTGCTGTGGGCGCCTCCTGCCGGACTCCTTTGAGCCAGGGAGGGGGAAGGAAGGTTTTTAAAACTTTTACCGGAGCCTAGAAACTAGCTGCTCTCGCTGGTATAGGTGGGCAATTTATTGAAACCAAATCTGGGACCTCTTCCTGGGTGATGGGTCCCTAAGGTGCCTGGCCTCAGCCCCACCACTCACCCAGCCTGGGTGTTCGGACCAGCTAGCTGTCTTTCTTAGCCCTCTCCCAAGTTTGTTTTGCGTTTCATTTGAATTCCAGATGGCCTTTTAACAACAGCAACGAAAACCTAAAAAACAGGCCACTTAGTCCAAAGTGAAAGAACTTCTTATTTCACTTTAAAGAACAGCAACTCTGACCGCATCCAGGACGGAATTTCAGGATTTCAGGGGAAGGGGAGAAAGAAGTTTCCTTTCCGACTCTGGCTGGAGAGGAGGGAGACCCAGTTGAGGCTAAAGGTGGAGAATGTGGAACAGACTCTGAAAATGGTGGCACTTGCTAGAGGAGACGGGGAGAGGAAAGGGGACATCCCAGGGCCGCCCACTACTCCCCTCTCCTTGTCACTCACTCTAGGGAATCCCTGGGCCCTCACTGGCCCCTTCTTCCTCCTTTTCCAACCTCCTCAGAGGGATTTGGAGCAAGGATTTGGCCTTCAGAGACCTCTGCCGTGGGGACCTCCTGTGTCTGCCTTTCAGCCTGATTGGGGACTCAGTCACACCCTGTCACAGGCTGGGTTGGACCTAGTTTTCCCTGAGCCTCTGGACCCCCTAGTTCCTCTTCTGCGAGCGACCCTTATCAATCTCTCCCTGCCCCCCCCCCCGCAGAAGGCCGGGAGTGTGTCAACTGTGGGGCCACGGCCACCCCTCTGTGGCGGCGGGACGGCACTGGCCATTACCTGTGCAATGCCTGCGGCCTCTACCACAAGATGAATGGGCAGAACCGGCCACTTATCAAGCCCAAGCGGAGGCTGGTAGGAGCGGGTGCCTCAGGCGGGGAGCGGGCAGGCGGGTGGGCTCAGGTGGCCCTGGGGACAGGGCACACACAGGTTGTGGGGGGAGTACACAACCTGGGCAGGAGCTGGAGTTAATTAAGGAGAAAAAAACAAGCCAACCCAAAACAAAACAAAACAAACACACCCTGGAGCTGCACCACCTGAACTCCTCTTTTATCGTTAAAATCTTTTGGGGGTCAGTTGGGGTCACCCTCCTTCCTGGCCAGATTCTTTCCTGCCAGACTTCCTGCTCCACAGCCTACCAGGTACCCCTGTGCCATCTCACTCTGGGGATTCCCAGAGAGTATCCCAGGGGCCACCCTTCCTCCTTTGGCCTCTGCCTCACTCTTTTTAAAAATAGGGCTCTGAAGTCCATTCCCTGAGGCTGGTCCCTGATCCTGAGCCCTCCTAGTCTCCCCGGCTCACAGTCTCCTCCTGCTTATTTAAATAAAACCCCTCACACCAGCCACCAAAAAAACCTGCCCTTTATTATTTTTCCATGGAGTCACCTATACTGTGTATTTTCATTTGAGTGATTTTTTTTAAAATGCCCTTTCGGATCTCCTGCCGGAGTTTCCTATCCGGACATCTGCAGCCTGAAGATAAGGAAACTTCGTGTATCTGTTTCCGGACTGTGCGAGTTTTCAGAGGCTCCTCGGCTCAGTCCTGCCTCTCGCTGGGCTGTTTTGAAATTTCTAATACCCTCTGCTCTGCAAATAATGCGTAAAATGCTAAGAATAATAAATATATTTTTTCAGGGCGAAGTGATTTATGAGGCTTAAATCGTTCGCCCGCTTTGGGGGCCCTTTTTTTTTTTTTTCTGGCCCGGAGCGAGGGCAGGGTGAGGGCCGGCGGGTAGGGTAGGGTAGGGGTGGAGGACACGCAGTTGGCCCCTGAGTCAGAATTCCAGCTTCAAGCTGCTTACTCACCGCGTCCCTCCCCGCCCCCACGCTGCAGTCTTGTCTGTCCCCTCTGTGACCACCCTGGGTCCCAGTCGGCCCAGACTCTGCCCAGGGACTCCAGCCCCGGCTCTCTGGGAAGTCTTGGGGAAACTCGTGCTCTTTCTGTTTCTGCGGGGCTGGCGCTGGCGGAACCACAAGAGGGTAAAGGTTCCATCACGCCTGGGCGCCTCCAGCTCCTTCACCCTGGGACCAGACCCTCCCTGCCAGACCCCACCTTGGTCTGGCATTTCCTGAGGTTAGAGCTCTGAGGTTTGGGGAGCGGGGCTGGAGGAGGGAAATGTCCCAGATCTATGCGTCCCGCCGGCATGGTAGCCTCCAGCCGCATGTGACCGTGGGTCACTAGGACTGTGGCCAGTGCAATCGCTGGGACTGACGTTTTAATTTCAGCCAGTGTAGCACAGTTTAAATTCAGCAGCCCCATGTGGTGAGTGGTTGCTGTACTGGAGGTGCTGCTCTGTGCTCTAATCCTGGCCCCTGCCTTAGCCCTGGAATACTGGGTGTTGCAGGTGACGGGAGGAATCAGCTTCAGGCCCGGGGGTGGGGGTGGGGGACAGAGCCAGCTGAGGGTGCCCACTCTGCTAAGAGCCTCAGTTTCCTCACTTACAGAGTTAGATTGCTTTGCAGTTAGGTGAGGTGGCATACTTCCCTTCCTAGCTTTTACAGCCCCACTGCTTCTAAGATCAGATTTCTGAGAGCTCTTTCTTCTATTCTAAACCTCTGCGATCCTGGTCTTGTTCTCAAATTCTAAAATGCCACCGTTCTGAGATGCCTGATTCCCCTGGGAGATTCCCACTAAGTGGCAGGGGTGGAGGGAGGTCGAGGTGGGGCGTGGGAGCCCAGCCTACCGACGCGGCCCTTCTCCCGGCCCCTGTCAGTCCGCAGCCAGGAGAGCCGGCACCTGCTGTGCAAATTGTCAGACGACAACCACCACCTTATGGCGCCGCAACGCCAACGGGGACCCGGTCTGCAACGCCTGTGGCCTCTACTACAAGCTGCACAATGTGAGTCCGCCTCCCCTCCCCAGGGACCTCTGGTCTTTGTGCTGTTGGGCATGAGGCCCCAGCCACAATATCCAGCTTGGCTTGGCTTGGGGAGCAGTGGCTGCCTGCCTTCTGAGCAGACCTGGAGCCCCAGAAGGGCTTCCTGTAAGAGGAGGTGCTATTGGCCGGCAGCCTGGGGAAGTAGGGTCTCCGTGTCAGCACAAGCTGGGGGCAGGGAGGATTTGGGGTGCCCATGTGGGGGGACATGATGGCATTGGTGAGCAGGAGCCAGGAAGCTTGAAACCATCCTCCCTGAAGTGGTGTCAGAGTTTGGGGAGGCTTGGGCAGGTGGTGATGGAGGCTGGGCTGACAGCACAGCTCCTGGCATCCAGAGCCCCCAGCCCAGCCTCCTCCGTCTTTGGGGGAAGCAGAGAGCCTGGAACCTACCTCCTAAAACCTCTGTGCTTGCCTTTAGGTTAACAGGCCCCTGACCATGAAGAAGGAAGGCATCCAGACCCGGAACAGGAAGATGTCCAACAAGTCCAAGAAGAGCAAGAAAGGGGCCGAGTGCTTTGAGGAGCTGTCCAAGTGCATGCAGGAGAAGGCGTCGCCCTTCAGCGCGGCCGCCCTGGCCGGACACATGGCCCCTGTGGGCCACCTTCCACCTTTCAGCCACTCGGGACACATCCTGCCCACGCCGACACCGATCCATCCCTCCTCCAGCCTCTCCTTTGGCCACCCCCACCCGTCCAGCATGGTGACTGCCATGGGCTAGGGACAGCGTCCTGCTGCACAGACAGATAGATGTCCAGGAGGGAGGTGCTCCCCGGATGGGTGGACCGTGCCCCGAGCGGCCACCCTTCCCCGGAGGCTGACACCACTCCTGCCAGCCCAGCCAGAGCCCAGAGCCGCTTCCACCTCCTCCATGGCTCTCCGTGCAGCAGCAGTAGTGGCAGCGGCGGCGCAACAGCAACAGCAGCGGCAGCAGCGGTAGCTGCCGACCTTTACTGTGAATATTCTCAACCTGGCCAGAGGCTGCCCCCACCCCCTGCCCGGGTGGCTTCCTTTGTGGACAATTGTCTGCAGAGCAAACAGGGACAACTTCATGGCGAGGAATGGAGGGGCCAGGGAAAAGATGAATACAACCATTTTTTGAAGGAAAAAGAAGTAGGCAAAGATAATTTATTTTGCTTTTGTTTCTAACAGGGACTGGGAGGTCTAGGCTGTCCCACGCTATCTGGGTTTTTCCTTGGGCCCATTGCTGGACTACCTGTCCGCCCGGCTTGGCTTGCAGGGCTCTGGGGGGGGCAGGCCTGCAGGCGCGTCCCCCACACCCTCCTCCTCTGCCTTCCCTCTGTGAAACCACTCAGCTCCAGGCTGGGCC